GACCTGGATCGCAGGTGAATGACAACTCGAGCTGATGGCTGCCTCTGCAATACATCCTGCAGTAGACTGCTGCTCCAAGCTTCTTTTTGCCTTGAACCTTAACTGGCTTTAGTTTTACTGTAGCATAGCCCAGAGCATGTTGTCAATAAGATTTTGATCTATTCAGCAGACACTAAACAGGGCTCAACTACAACTCAACTTCTTGAGAGGAAAAAAAATAGCAATTCCATTTAACATTTGACATTCTAGTCCCCCTAAGATTCTGGAAAGCACAGCTAGTGGATTTCTTAGGTAAACAATAAAAAGTAAACCATACAGCTCCCTTTTGGAGAGATGAGCAGTGATAGTGTTTCAGAAGGAATTACATTTAGGTGGTTCTGCTGGAAGATGAACTGGTGGAGGGGGGGATATGCTGTAACGCTCATTCTTTCTATATGGGCAGCACTTTTCTTAAAAAGGCAAAAGAAAAATTACAGAATACTGGAATTAGATTGTTACCTACCTCCGCTCACAGGGAAGAGCAACCACCTTGTACCTTGTTTCTCTTTACCCGACAGCTGAATAATCTATGTTGAGGTCACCTCTGCCTGAATTCAGTTCCAGGGCAGCACTCCCCACCTGGCAGTAAATGCTGTTTGCAGAGACAATAGCTATGTTATGCCCCAGCAAGAATAATGTGAGCACCAACAAGAATAACGAACATCGTGTGTTAGTGGTCAGCAGGGGCAGAAAGTCATGGTTGTGTTTGTGAGCTACGTGACACCCTTGGGCTTCAGCAGCCCTTTCCCTTTGTGTGTAAGGACTGTGTATTTTGTTTCTAAGGGAATTTCATGAGCACTACTTCAGTGTGGGTTTGGCAGTTAAGAGGACAGGCACTTCAGGAATGGAATAAATGTCAAGACCATCGCTTCTGGCTAAGGGTATAAGGTGTCAAGCATAACCTGAGCAAGCAGAAGAGGAGAGAAGAGCAATTGGGGCAAGAGCTTGCACAGGGCTTGGGAGGCATGTGTGAGGCAGGGTGAGCTGGCGTGTTCAGAGCTCAGCACGAGGCAGGCTCCTGTCCCTGTCCTGTGCTGGTATTTCCCACAGCATAATAGTGCAGTAGTATTACAAAGAACTGACTTTCTGTCATGTTACCTGGGAAAACTACACTTGCAACACATCATAAATTGTTTAACAATATACAGTGAATTACAGAGTGCTGTCAAAGTGACTGTACTGCACTTATTAATGTGCTGCTTCCCACCCCACCCCCTCCCACCCCCCATTGATAAGCTAGGGAAAGAGCATTCACCTGGCTGAACATGGGCTTGTTTGGCACAGGATTAGAAAAGTCTTGGGCTGCCTTTGTGGACAAGGCGCTTTTTTTTTTTAAGGCGAAACAACCACTTTGGCTTCTGCTCTGTGATATTAAAACCTGTTTGAGAAGCCACACGTCCCTGTGCTGTCAGATGCTGTCATTCCCCATACCACCCAGCCTGCATTTGTGCTGCAGTTTTACTGTTCAGCCCCAAGGAAGCCAGTGACTGCCTCAAGGACAGCCGAAGTTGACCAAATAGGACACGGAGAGCATGGGTGCAAAATGGCAGCACAAGCATTAGGCTGGGCTGTGTGTGACTACATGTGTGCTCACAGAACAGAATCCCACAGGTGATTTGCAAACACCTGCCTGCAGTAATGGCCCTCCCATTGCTCTGAAACAGTGGCTCAAGGTAGGCGGTGGATGGCAGCTCTGCCAAACCCCTGTTTACTGAGGAGCTGAGGACACAGTGGCTTCCTGGGAGGCGAGGATGACAACAAGGCTGCTGGTGAGGTGCTGGAGTTACCTCTGGAGACAGGCGGCGAGTGTCCACAGCTCCTCAGTAAGACCCTTGTGCTACGATGGTGGTGCGTGGCCCCTCCAAACCCCAAGACAGTTGCCCTGCACAAGATAGGATCAGACCCTGACAGGGTGTTTTGCCTGTACTTGCGCATGGCGGGGGGGGAAGCAGATCACCCAGCACTGAGGAATCAGGTGAGTCAGTCTGTGCGGCTGTCAAGTTTATCGCTGGGTGCTGGAATGCTGCTTCCAGGTAAGAGATCCTATCTAGTGGGACCTGGTGTGTGCCTACACACCTAACTAGATAGCAAAGTCCTGCCCCATTAGTCACCATGGAACCAGCCTTAACCCCTTGCTGTCCTGCCTAAAGTGCTCCTCCCAACACGAGAGAGTGCACAGCAGATGGCAACATGGGCACTCAAATTGGTGTGCCGCATCCTGCTTGGCTAAGAGCTGTCATCTGCTTGGCCTGAAAAGTATCAAAGGGCACCTCTTCAGGGCCTGATCTCAGCACAGGGTGAGGGACTGATACTGTGCAAACTACAGAATGCCAATAAAAGTTGATAGTTAACCCTCTTCTACCAGCGAGGTGTCACCTTGGCCTCTCAAGGAAACACGCTGTCAGTGAGGTCACGGACACCAGCCGGCAGCGCAGCCAGCCGGCACAGCAGCCCCTGAGGATTAAACCTGGTTCAGTGCAGAGCCAGGCTGCTGCACCCAGCCCACGGGTGAGGGTGCGAGTGTGTGACGTCCCCCACGCCGAGGGCAGTGCTGCATGGGGTTTGGGCACATGGGAGATGCTATTCCTGCACCATGCAAGTGTAGCTGCCTTACTGGTCCCCCACAATCCTTGGTGATAAAAGCCCTGCACAGCCCTCCAGCACATGCCTCTCTGTCCCCACACAGTTAAGTTTTTATGGTAATTAATATTCTAGCAGAAGCAAAGAAAACACCACACTTTTTTTTTTTTTGGTCCTTATAAATAACTAATCTTGATACTTCTCTTTGAATAAAATTTCTTCAGCTTTTCACAAAATATAGTACAGTTATTTAAACAACGTTGAACAGCGTCAGTAACGGAAGAGGCAAAAAACCCCAACATGTAAATTTGCTACAGCATACAGGGCACACAGCAACGGCTTCTTTCTCCCTCCTGCCACTTGTTGCTGAGAAGCCAGGCTCAAATACAAGTTGATTGTATTAACCTACCGTTAGAGCAAAGCTCTAAATGCTCTTGCATTTTTCAATAGGCAACGGTTTGTAGTTAATATTGGATTTTTTTTTCTTAAAAAAAAAAAAAAGCTTTACACAGTCAGTTGCACTTTGAAAAAAATTCCGCAAAAACAACAAAACAACACCACCTTTGACATGGTTTTGTTCATTGTATTGCATGATGTGTGTTTAGCTGTATCTACAAAAGGCACTATAGAAAGAGAGGAGTCCAGCGAGGCGTGGATTGGAGCAGGTTGGAGTCA